ATAGGACCACTGCCAGTCTGGCTAGAAGTTCTGATGCTGGGAAGTTAAGGGTGCACAGGCCCTTTCTCCTAACGGCCCCATTGTCAAAGAATCAAGGCACTTCAGCCTAAAAGGATGCTCAAAACTCTTTACTACACAAACTTAGCAACTGCCACCATTTCACCACTTGGTCTTCTATGAAGTGCATTTCTATCCTTTTCTTTAGTGGAGATACAGAAAATTAGCTAGAGCTGATCATCAGGAGACAGGCCCTGATTGAGTGGGCAGAGCTGGACAGCTGATACAAGCAGAGCAAATGGCTCCGTATCTTCGGAATGTGTTTTAGATGAAGGATAAACCGCTTAAAGGGCCCCAAAAGTTCAATTACATCACTTTTCATTTCCATCGCTGTGACTGATATTCAGAGGCAGGGCTAGTGACCTGGTCAGTATGGTGGTTCCACACCGGAACTCAGATGGTTCCATCTGAATCTAAGCTGAGTTATACTTTGATCAAAATGCCACCCCGGTCTGAATGTCACCTAATCACTCAGGTGTCTTCTTTGTCCGGGTGCAGTATCCTGACTCCAGCCTGGCATGACACTGTGGGAGACTATGTCACAGTCTCAGGATTGCCTCTGTTTCCTTCAGACTCACATCATGTGAATTGACTGCTAAGTCAATATCTATTGTTCAGGAAAACGGAGACTTGATGCAGGAAATTACAAGTCTGAAACTTTTGCAGGATTCTGAGATTAATTTTTAAAAGGAAAAAGTCAGTTTTAATAGTGCCTGTTGAACTAGAAATGGGGTTAGCAGGCCACTGTGTTGTAGAAATTAAATCAGCACAAGTAGATATGGAGCACAGCCAACTGCAGGGTTTCCTTTAGGAAAACCCTTTAACTACATTTGACCTCTGTCACTCTTTTGAGCTTTTATTTTCTAATCAATGTGTGCTTTATCCATATTCATATGGAAATCAGGAGAAAAATGCATGAGTTTATAGTCTTTTGTTCAGCAGTGTAGATTGAAATCAAATTTAATGTAATGTTGAATTGTCTTACAGACTTACTTAAGGTAAAAGTCATGTTGAACAGGAGGAATTGATTTCTGTTGATCATGATTTGAGATGAGGTTGCTGTCTCCGAGTTTGCTAGATCATTGTTATAACGTCTTCTTTCTAGACTCACTAAAGTTCTGTCTTGAAGAGCATATGTTCCAGAGTTTACTAACAGCATGCTTTAAAAACAAGAGTACGTGCATTCTTGTATTTTGAAATTGGAATGCAGAAGGGATTCACAGTTTTTATATCAATATTAAGCAGTCAGAGATGGAGCTGTCTAGAGATGAATGGGGCAGTAAAGTGTTCCAACCACACCTAGCTGCTTAGCAATGATAAGTGAGTCGGGAAACAAGAAAGGTCAAAACAGATATCAACTCAAACTGCAGCAACCTCCTATATAGACCAGCTAGATGATAGGATTAAAATAAATATAGAAAGTCTTTCCTGAGGACAGAGGAATTTCATAATCCTGCCATAGTAGCCAACCTGTCTCTTGCAAGGTAGCACTGAAGGATGATAACCATTAGAAAGTAAATGTTTTATGGTCTAGGATAATATATTACTCCATAATAGAGGCTTCTGATAATAATGACTTGGATCATGTAATTTGCACGTCAATCCTGCCTTATTTTTGCCTACATAGATTTTAAAGAAAGAGTGAAGGTATGCCAGGATTTGGGTAAAACAATATACATGTCATCTCTGTGAAAGCAACTTTTGTTTCCCTGAGAGTGGAATTTTCTTTGCAGGTGAGCCAAAGGCTCACATTAGAAAAGGCCACTTATTTGAGTGTCCAGTCCCACCAAAAGGAGATGCTCACCTTTTATTTCTCAGTAGAGGGACTCTGCAGCCCATGCAGAACTCCGGAGCTATGTTTGTTAACATTGCTGCCCAGTGGACAGACATGAACTGCGCAAAAGCAGAACCTTAAAACTGAGCCCCAATGAGCTGGGCATGGTGGTACATACCCGTAAAACCAGCACTCCAGAGGCTGAGGCAGAAAGATCACAAGTTTGAGGCCTGTCTGAGCCATGTGGCAAGATCAAGCCTATTCAGAACTACATACTAAGTTCTGTCTCAAAAAGAGAAAAACAGTGAAAAAGCCTGCTACCCTCTCATTGCTGCCCACTAGTCTGTTTCTCTCTCCCTCCCTCCCTTGTCTCTCTCTCTCTCTCTCT